CTTTCTGATCCAACTCTACTTTGATACGCCTGAGAGAATTATTGGCATCATCAAGTTTCTCTTTCAGTAAACGAGCTTTTTCTTCAGAGGACAATTTTTGAAGCTCAAGCTCATTCAGTTCGTATTTTAAATCTTTAATAATTTTGTCAGATTTTTTGTTAGTAAATGTTAGCTCATCTACTAGCTGCTGGAATTCTTCTACATTTTTTATTTCTTGATTTCTCTGAAAATCTGTAACATCTGAACCCACTGGTAACAGAGTTTCTCTCCCTAAAGAGCATTCTATTACAGTAATCTGCCTTCTTACTTCAGTCGTTTCTTTTTCTTTTAGCTTGTTTTTCACTAGACTGCCTTGAAACTCAAGGTCTTGTTCCATTTCCCTTATTAGCATCATAAGCTTTTCTTCTTCAGCTGTTTTCTTCTTCAGCTCTTCCATTAATGCCTTCTTTTGCTGCTCCAAATCATGAAGATTTGTGTCTTTCCTTTTTAGATGTTCTTCAAGTGTCTTTCTAACCAGGGCACTCTCCTCTAATTGAATTCTGAAAGTCCTGAGATTCTCTTCAACTATACTTCTCTGAGCCTCTGCTTTTAAAGTGAGCTGCTTCATTCGATCCAACTCCTGCTCTGAAGCGTCTTTCTCTTTAAGAACATCTTCCAGCTCCAAGCAATATCGTTTTGCCTCTTGTTCAGCCTTGGCTTTCTGGAGAATTATCTCTTCCATAGCTTTCTGCTGTTTCTTCCATTCTTTTTCAGCATCTCCTTTTACTTTTGGTAGTTCTTCTTCCAGTCGGAATTTCTGTCTCCTTAGCTCCTGCAGCATCTCCTCAAGTTCATTTATTCTTTCCATAAGCTTCCTATTCTCATTCACTACTGTCTTTTGCTGTGCCTCCAGATCAGCAAATTCACCACGTACCAATGCCTCATTATTTTTTAGGATCTGTGGGGGGGAAAAGATAAGGCGCATTGGATTCTATCCTTTTAAAATGCAATCTTGGAGAATTCTTGCAATTTTTCAAATATACAATTGCAAATACTTACAAACTCCATTTACTGTCAGAACACAGTGAGCGATTGCCAACACCACCACCACCTTCAGTGAGCAGCCATTAAAGAGTAAAGAGAAAGCTGGATGAAGGAGTTCACCAACTGAAGTTCTCAGGAAGAATCCTTTCACTCATTCAGGGCAAGAGCTATTTCTGCAGTACCCACAGAACAACTTTTCAGCCAAAGCTATGCAAGAAAATGCAGTTCAGCATTTTATGGTTAGTCTGAGCAGCAAAAGGAGAATTTGTTAGAGCCTGTGACCAAACATGATATACTTGCTATTGGGAAAAGACCTTATAAAAACAACAGTGCCCCCCCAGAAAAACACATTAAACTAGGAGCAGGGGAACCACGTATAAATTCATGCTTAGATTCTTTTCTGAACAGAAGCTAAATGTAAGGCTCTTCTTTTAACAAAAGTCAAATACAGTGGGGAGGCTTCCGGTCTGACTAAGATGGAGGACTGAAGCGTTTCTAGCTGCATCATCCCAAAAGACGGCCACTTTCAATTCTTGCAATTTTTCAAATATACAATTGCAAATACTTACAAACTCCATTTACTGTCAGAACACAGTGAGCGATTGCCAACACCACCACCACCTTCAGTGAGCAGCCATTAAAGAGTAAAGAGAAAGCTGGATGAAGGAGTTCACCAACTGAAGTTCTCAGGAAGAATCCTTTCACTCATTCAGGGCAAGAGCTATTTCTGCAGTACCCACAGAACAACTTTTCAGCCAAAGCTATGCAAGAAAATGCAGTTCAGCATTTTATGGTTAGTCTGAGCAGCAAAAGGAGAATTTGTTAGAGCCTGTGACCAAACATGATATACTTGCTATTGGGAAAAGACCTTATAAAAACAACAGTGCCCCCCCAGAAAAACACATTAAACTAGGAGCAGGGGAACCACGTATAAATTCATGCTTAGATTCTTTTCTGAACAGAAGCTAAATGTAAGGCTCTTCTTTTAAAAAAAGTCAAATACAGTGGGACATATAATGCATATCCCTTTCTTCCCTCGTCTTTTGCAGCTAGCTGCATCATCCAAAAAGTTAGGACCCATTAGGAACAGCATAAGATGCAGAACAGGGTCTGCAGCCCAATGGTGAAGTCTGTGGATATATGAAGCTTCATTCTTGCCTACATAAACAGAGAGACTTCCTAATTAGCTCAAATGCTTCTTTGGATCTGTATTCGCATCTGATGGTAGACATAAAGTCAGTGACACTGGAATGGAAAGCCACCAAAGATAACTTCATTACCTGGTTCCTTCTAAACTGAGTTAAATGATTTCCAGCAACTGGTTTTCCAGGAGATCTCCCATTAACACTCATGACTGCCAGCTGAACTTTTCAAGTTGTTGTCTTATAACATATGATGCTTTAAAACAGTAGTGCTAAGAATAAAGTTCTAGTGTCACTTTTTAAAAGAGCTGGTTTTGCACTAATCTTTATCAGTAGTACAAGTAATCTGCTGAGAGGTTTCTATACTAAATCACCACTGGCATTCATAAATTAATTAATCAATAGTTTATCAATTTGTTCAAATTTTCAAGATCATCTGAATCAGTTCAAAATTAAAAGTCTCCTCTTCATTGACCTCTGACATTTGTTTTATTTGGACAAAGTTTTGCTGGGTTTTTAAATGTTCTATAACTGCTGCTGTCTAGAGATACATTATGCAACATCTTAGTTTTCCCCTCGTCATCAGAAGGATGGTGCATAAGTACATGTTTTAATCGTTGTTCCTCTGATTTCTCTATTGGCTTTCAGTAACCTAGAGCATTTTTCCTCATTTACAGCAGCTAATAATTCATTTGTTCAAATACTCTCTTCCAATATTATGGACACTGTGTTGGAATCTTTCTCAGCCATGATCTTTTTTCAGGCTTCCAGCATGTGACCATTCTAGAAGGCAAGCACATAGTTTGTCTTGGCTGATTCCCATGGGACAATCTTTAGCCTCCTGGCTTAGATTATTTCTTTTAATTACTGGCTCAGAATTACTTTTTGCATTTCTTCCTATTTTCTCCTTGAGTGAAGCAGGTCTTCTCACATTCTCTTCCCTTTTATCAACAGCCTGCATTGTCTGCAACAATGTTTTTGTTCGTTTTCTTATTTCTCTTTCTTGTTTCTCATTCAGAAGTTCATTGGCATTTATACTTACAGACACACAGGGGTCGTTTCGTAGAAAAAGAGCTAGGGGAACTCATTAGCATAACTCATTAGCATATGCCACACCCCCTGACATCACCGGAAGTGTGTCATAAGGCCACACACCGCGCCCCCAATGGTCCCGGCCGGCGGAAGTGCAAGGAAGCCCCGCGAAGGCCCTCCCTGGGGTGGGGAGAGCCAGGGAGGAAGCAACTTACCCTCCCTCTTCTCCTGCCTCCTCCTGGCTGAATGAGGGCCGGAAGTGGGGCGGCCAGAAGCAGGGGGCGGGGCTTCGTCATGTGCCCCGCCCCCGTACCTCACTCGGGGGAACTGCGATCCCCGGAACTGCGATCCCCCGCAATCCCCCCCAAAATGACCTCTGCAGACACATAATGTTCCCAACATCGTCACATTTGGTATTAAACATTACAGAAACTACCAAGATTTCTTTGCTTGCATGCAGAAATCTCCCTTTATCGTTCTGTCCCCCATTGTTGTTCACCCTAATATCACTGTTTAAACCCTTATCACAGCAGGATTCTTTTACTTTCAGCAAGCTCTCTCTAAAGTTTGCCTTATTGTTAAAGGCTTCTTTGGGCTGACACCTTGCATCTAATGTTCCTTCTCCTCTTTTGGCTTGTGACTTTCCTTCCACGGCTTCACAACCTTTCAAAAGCTCAGAAATGTCAGCTACTTTACCAAATCCCTGCAATTCATCATCCAGACACCAAGCCTTTCCATTCAGATTAAAGGTATCATCGTCCTTACTTTTAAAAAACTCAAAATAGAGAGCCACATTCTAGAAAACCCCACATGCAAACCTGCTTGCACTGTTGTTTTTTAATCTCAGAAACTGTCCTTACAGAATCCCCAAACCACTTCTTTAAACTTTCAATTTTTCAAAGTTGTTTTGGGACTTGGAACACAATTAGGTTAAAGGGATCAGCAGCTGTTTGTGATACTCTGTCCCCAAGACAACAAAAAAGCTTCAGATGAGATTTGAAAATAGATATTTTTAAACGGATGCCTTTAAAAAGCAGTTTAGGGGTTGTTTTAAAAGGAATCTTTCAGAAAAGTGAATACTGCACCAGTCATTCTGATACAGCATACTAACTGGCAAAAGACAGAGACCAGACAAATAAGCCCATTAGCAGAAATAGCTTAATACATTTTAATCCCAAAGTGACCAACTAAAATTGCCAAGACAAGTCAGCAGAGATTCTAAAAGTTAATAGGACACCAAGTTAAGTTAGTAAATCATCCTTTCATCACAAAGAATGAATGCAACAGAAAGAAATACTGGTGCGGGGGGTGTGTGTCAGAAATATTTTATTAAAGAAATCAGTTAAAGATATGAAACAATTTAAGTAATGAAATTCCTTATTCAGATTTTAAGTATGCTAATGTTCACATCCTGTGGAGGTGAGAGGGATAAGTGGACTTTCAGAACCATATAAAATTCTTGTTTTCATCTTTTCTGTGCCATTTTTTTTTTTTTAGAAGATCCAAAATCCTGGAACAAAATTTTTGCAGACTATAAACATAATCTATTTTCTATCTATTAAATTTTAATTCAGCTCCTCCTCTAAGGAGCTCACATTTTAAAATAATACTTTCACCTGAAAAGGACAGTGGGATAAGAAGACTGTAAGCCAGTATTATCTATGCATTTCTCAGATGTGACCATCAATCTTTTTGAATATTTAAAGTCTATAAGGAATTTCAGTCACACATATCACCACTTAAAATCAGAGCTAACTTAATTCCTTTGTTTTACTGCTCCCTGGTCATCAGCTGTTGACTTACCTCTTCCTCTTCTAGTCTTTTCAGAGAGTCACCAGCAAACTTTATGTACTGAGTCATCAAGGTTACTAAAGCTGTATAGCGTGTTCGTAAATCCATGAACTGCAACAAAGGAAATATGCCAAAACGGAAAGCCATAAATGACATAAAGTAATAATATTAAAGGTGACTTTTGAAAGAAAAGCCTCCAGGCCGTGGCTGGGTGGCTCAGGCTGAGCCGGCTGAAGCTGAACCCGGCGAAGACGGAGGTCCTGTGCCTGGTTCATGGTGGTATGGGATTGGGGCTCCCACTCCCGGCCTTCGATGGGGCACCTTTGGTGCCAGCTTCGGAGGTTAGGAGTTTGGGAGTGCTCCTGGACTTAACGATGGAGGCCCAGGTGGCGGCAACTGCCAAAGCAGCCTTTTATCATCTACGACTGGTGCAGCAGTTGGCCACAGTGATCCATGCGATGGTCACCTCGAGGCTAGACTACTGCAATGCTCTCTACATGGGGCTACGTTTGTCACAAATTTTGGAGGCTGCAGATGGTGCAGAATGCGGCGGCCAGGTTGTTGGTGGGTGTCCCTAAATGGGATCACATCCAACCTGTGCTGAAAGCGCTCCCCTGGCTGCCTATAGCATTCCGGATTCGCTTCAAAGTGCTGGTGTTTACCTTTAAAGCCCCATATGGCCAGGGTCTGGCATACCTGAGGGACCACCTTTCCCCATACGGGCCCCAAAGAGCACTTCGGTCGGGATCACAACACCACCTAGTGACCCCGGGTCCTAAAGAGGTCAGGCTTGCTGCCACAAGGGCCAGGTCCTTCTCGGTTGCAGCTCCTACCTGGTGGAATGAGCTCCCGGAGGAGATCAGGGCCCTGCAGGACCTCTTACAGTTCCACAGAGCCTGCAAGACAGAGCTCTTCCGCCAGGCTTTTGAATAGGAGCCACCGCCGCCACCACCACCGAGTAACTGCAGAGCAGGACCGCCAGGTTGGGCCGCCTGGCCGCCTGGAACATCTTGGCCCATGGCATCCCCCTTCTTTGATCCCACCATGATATACAATAGGGAGTGAGTATTTTAGTTCCTGATGTATCCTGCAAGATGCAAGTTTTTGTTTTAATTGTTTTAACTTGTCCTATTTTTATTGCACTTGGTGCCTTAATTGTTTTAATCCTGTTGTATTTTATTGCACAGTTGTGCCTATGTAAACAGCCCTGAGCCCGCTTGCGTGGAGGGTGGGGTATAAGTGAAATAAAATAAAGAAAGAAAGAAAGAAAAAGGAGTTTTAAGGAGGGGGCTTCTTCAGTGAAGGGGTAAATTCTGATAGCAACTTAACACAGCAAGTTTTTGGCAAGGAGAGGTTATATTAATTTGCCATGCAGTGTTTTTATACTTAATATACCTCATGAACATTGTTTAAAAGGTTTCACAAAGCACTAGAAGAATATGGGCTATTAAAGTTTATTATTAACTTCATCTCAGTACCTCTTGGATAATAAAATCAGAAGAGCTCTGCATTCTTCGGCGTTTCACTGGCGATTTTTGCTGGGAGTCAACCATGGCCCTGTAAGTCATTGTTTGCAACTCATAGTCCTGTAGTAAATACATGAAAATTAGCAGAACTGTAAGCTAGTTGCCCAATACTCACTATAGTCCATTTCAGTGCAACAGACTATGTCTCCAATACTGCAAAGTCAAAAGGCAATATACCCATCATAGCACTCACACTGTCAATCATCCCATTACCCAGAAAGGGAAAGGAGCATCGAATTGATTCCATGCTTAATACGAAACATGTAAAAGTTCCACCCACAGGGGTAGTTTGGGCTACATAGCTACAGACCACAGCCAAAATATTCATCAAGATCAGCTGGCACAATTCATCCTACCAATGTGAGTGGAAATGTGGAAGCAGCCATGTAGGAGTTGTCAACTACAGTGCTGAGAGACTGAGAGACGCTTCCATGAACAGACTGCAGGAGCAGCATGTAAGCTCTAGCTCAGTACTCTGAGCAGGAGTTACAGCTTCAAGAAGAATTAAGAATAAACAGGCATGGTTAGAGCATTACCTTTACTGCAGCTGAATACTGCTCTGAGTATTTCTGACATTCATCCAGTTTGCTTTGTTTCATTTCTATTTCAGAAACCAGCATCTATGAAATACATAAAGAATTTCAATGTATAACAGATACTAACTTAAGTAAATTTTCCTTCCCATTTCAAAAGCTCGTTGTTCTGCATTTATAAGACAAACTTCAGTACTGAGTTTGTATGTAAGGGAGAGAGTAGAGTGGCCTTTTTCTTGTGCTCCTCTCTACGAAGTGCTCTGGCCCCCACACACCTCATATCCGAAAAGTGGCACATTCAGTACAACAGGAAGGGTGTGTGTGTGTCTGCGTGTATACACACATGCACGTGTGAGAGAGAATGAATTAGTGAGTGATTCATGCCTACCTTTATAAATCGGACATTTTAATTTAGGCAAGTTCTGTGTATACATTTAGAAATGATGGACTAACAATAGGCGAAGTACAATTGCATACATTTAGATGAGCTACTCATTCCATTTATTTAACTTCCAGAGCAGGACCTTGAACTTGTACCTTTTGCTGGTTTAGCTGTTTGACCAGAGCTTTACTGCTCTGAGGTGGATTTTCCTGAAATCTCTGCTGGGTTTCTTCAATTTGCTTAATCCAGCTATCCAGTGCACTGTAAGTATCCCTGTAGTATTTTAGAGATTTATTGATACTCTCTAAGTCACGCAACCTGTTTGAGGGGAGAGCAAGAACAAATTACCCTAAACTGAACATGTAATATGCTATTTTAAGATACCATTTGGATGGGTCTGAAAAATCCCATTAGTCATTTTATTGGGATTTATAAAAACCAGATGTTTCTACTGTTTCAGTGAGAAAACCAAAAATTAATGGATTGTGCTTTTCCGACTTAAGAAACGAACCCTTTCTATGGCTTCTCTTGGTTCCTGGAACAAAAATCCTTGCCTTGTGGCATTCCTCTTGAGCTCACCAATGGTTACAAATGAAAGGGGGAAAATCCTTCACATTTATATACAATGCTGCAACCTTCTTTTTTGATTATTAAAGGGCTAGGGTGAAGGGACTAGGGAAGATTCCCTTTAGAATAACACCCTCTCCCAATTCTGCACAAGAGAACTGAATCCATTTTCATTGTGGGGGGATGCTATTTTTCCAGTTATGAAAACATTACAGAAAATGGCAACAAACTGTGGTAAAAAAAATTACAATAATTTTGTGTTCCTGCATTTTTCAAAATCTTATAAATAAATAACTATTGCAAGAAATAATAACTAAAAAGTGTCCTTAATACACAACAAAGAAATAATATTGGAAAGATGAGGAAAAGCAGTATTATTTTTTTTAATGTATCAGCTTGCATAATTCCCTGTTGGGAAGCAGGAGAGTGAACATTTGCTGGGAACCATCAGTTTACAAGTTAGGAGCTGCACTGCGGTCATCACAAAATCTGTCACACTTACATTAGGGATGCTCGAGTATTGATGATAAACTGCCAGCAAAGCCAACTAAGATGTCATACAGAGGCAATGTTTGCTTTTTGTTTACATTAGAAGCCAAGAGGAGCATTTTAATTTGCCATAAATAAGGTTATGAACAGCTACCTCACTCTGTGACAGGACAAAATTCCGTGCACTTAGTGCTGTTGTTGTGAGCCAAGGACTTTTGAGTAAGATCAAGTCCTTTCCAGCCTGCTACTTGTGCCTCTTGACAGGAAGCTTTAGGGAACCAAGATTTTAGATAACCATTCCATATCTCCTTTGGGCCGTAACTTGGGAGCTGCTTCTCTGTGGCTTCTTTACATGCTATTATACTAATATGTTCATGAAGGAGCCCATCAGTGTTCTTTCATGTATTTTTTACTGGAGTGCTATTGGTAACAGCCATGAGGAAATAGTTACTGTGAATGGAGCTCTCTGCATTTATTTTTCTATAAAAGTCAGGTGCGGGGAAAACATCAGCTCCCCATGACCATTTCAAATCGGATAAATGGCATGGGTAGGACAGATGAACAACCACCTCTCCTCACATGGCTTACAGGGTAAAATTCCCTAACATTTGACCTTCATTGTGGCAGAGTTGTCATGGACCTAATTGTTCTAAATAACTGGGCTGGGCGTGAGCTCGCAGACACAATCGAAGCTGTGTAGTACTCTTTCTTCGCAGCTTTGACTGCCATCTCATAGGACCTCATAAAAGTCCTATAAGATGTTCTTGTGGCTTCGTTGTGGGTGCGCTGCCACTGTTTCTCTAGCTGTCTTAGCCCTCACTTCATCAGCCGCAACTCCTGGGTATACCAAGGTGCCAGCTTGGTGCAAGGGCGCAGAGGGCGTCAGGGAGTGATCTTGTCAATGGCTGCAGAGAGTCAGTTGTGCCAATCCTCCACAAGCTCATTTAATGAGCCATCAAAGGGCATCGGATCCCACGGGGCCATCTGAAGCCGCAATGGGTCTGTTTGGCTCCGCAGGCGAGCTAAAATACCCTCACTGCCTAAACAGGGTTGGGGTGAAACATTCAAACAGGCCCTCATGGCAAGGTGGTCCAACCATGGTACTGCCAAGGCAGTGATCCGGTCCACTGTAACCCCCGCCGCAAAGATCAAATCAAGCATGTGTCCGGCCCAGTGAGTGGGAGTTGTTACATATTGGGAGAGTCCCAGCACCACCATGGACGGTCCCATTCCCCTCCCTGATGTACTCCTTTTACTCTACAAATCAGCCTTATACCAACACACTTTATATGTCATTGGGACAAATCTGGGTATAAAGAAACATGTCCCCTGCTCTTAATCAACATGAATATTCAGGCCATTTCCATTGATTATGCTACATTATAGTTCTCGATAAGCAAGTTGTTTCTATTTAATTTCTAAAAACCTATATTGCAAGGAGCAAGAAAAATCCAGTCAAAGATTAGTAGGTTCAAATCCCACTGTTTCAATGGGAAAAGGAGATGATTGCGCTTAACTCACTCAATGGGAATGAAATGTAGCTAACCTAGATCATGACACATATTTTGATCCCCAGTATGGGGAAACTGAACTGCAAGGTAGGTAAGCAAAAAGATAACCCAGCAATCTAGTTGATTTATACCAAATTAATTTCCCCACACACACAACTTATTAAAGTGGTTTACTAGCTTGCCTTGGGAAAGATTATGCAGCCTGAATCTCTTCAAGTTAGACAGACCAATTTTATTTTTCACCCCTACATGACAGAGTTACATGGAAGTAGGAAGGTGGGAACAGCTGCAAGCCTACAGCACTCTCCCTACCACATACAGAGCCTCCAATATGGGCGCGCATAAGCCTCAGTTCACACTGATGGTTTTAGCAGTCACATGGAAGGGTGCACAAAACTTAATATTCAAGCACTATGTTTTGCCACATAAGGAATTTCATACAAGATTTAAGCAGGAACAGGACCACATTGACAAAGAGTGCTGAGCTTCACCACCTCAGTATCTACCTGATTTTTTTTTACATCTGAAGAATCACACACAACTGAAAGCATACTTCCAGCATTTTAAACAGAAATGTGATCCAATATAGGTACTGCTTCACTTTCGTGGATTTCTAAGGCTAATTGTGTCAGTCAATATGTGATGTAGTGTAGCACACACAGATGAGAATCTGAACAATTCCTAAATGTAGCGTCTGTGCTACAGAAAGCAATACAAACCTGTTTTCAATCTGAGAGTGAACATTTTGCCACCTCTCAGTTAGCTGATCAGCTTTCTCTTTGTGCCAGTCAAAGTCCAAATCACGTTCTTTGTGTGTTTTAAACATCTGATCACTGATTGCTTTGGCCTTCTGGAGTTCATCTTCTAAGGCATGGAACACTTCTCTCTTTTCATCAACCTCTGATCTCCATTGCTAGCAAACAAAACATGACAATATACATCATGATGACAGTTTTCTCCATAAACATGAATCTTGTGCCCTAATATTACTAATTGTCTACAAAGGCGACCCACAGAAGCATTACTAATAAAACAAAAATGCCAAATCAAATACTGTCAAAACTATGTTGTATTCAAAAGTACTAATAACTAGTTTATAAACAGTTCCTTGTTAGATCACATTTACTTTCCACTGCAATCTCTGATATGGCTAATTTTCCCTGGCAGCTTGAAATATTATTAGTGACGTGAGAGATAATAATGGGAGGGAAAAGGCTGGTAAGTGTGTGGCTTGGTTGAAGCTCTCTTCCCTGGGAATACAGGGCAGAGCAAGTGAACCCCTTCAAGGTCCTCTAGCTTTTCGTGAATGAATGGAGCAGTCAGCAAGAAAGAAGATGATTCTGGGCAGACGGAGCTGAGTGTCCAGCTCTGTTACTGCAGAGCAATGAAATAATCAGCAGCCAGTGGAACTGACTATATTTAACCAATTAATTGATCAGTGTCCCAGTGTTACTCTTATTTAATTCCACTCCGCTAAGAGCTAAATAGCATATGGTATGTAAGAATCTGCTTTTTCTTTTCTTTTTTGATGGAATTCAACTCACCCTTGCTGACTCAGTTAAAAGTGTAGTCTTGATGGTACTGTGGTGTCGATCTAGGTGTCCAGATCAGCCAGCTTACCTTGATATGGCTGATCTAGCCACCTAGATCCACACCACAGTACCATCAAGACTAGACTACTGTAATGCACTGTATGTTGATCTCCCCTCAAAATCAATGGCTCAGCTTGATGGAGCATGCATACTACTCTCATTCTACAGACACTCCATTACCTGCCATTTGTTGGTAGTAGTGGTGGTGGAAAGTGCTGTCAAGTCACAGCCAACTTATGGCGACCCCATAGGGTTTTTAAGGCAAAAGATGTTCAGAAGTGGTTTGCCATTTCCTGCCTCTGCTTTGCAGGTCTGGACTTCCTTGGTGGTCTCCAATTCAAATACTATCCAGAGCCAACCCTGCTTAACTTCCTAGATCTGATGAGACTGAGCTAGTATCTATATTGCTAAAAATGCATGGCAATTTCAAATCCTTACTGTATTCTGCACCATATCCATACCTTTAATGTACCCATCAAGTTCTCAGTATTACTCCTGTCGGCAGTCAATGGTTCTTCCTCACATAGCTTAGTTTCATACAGTTTTACTAATGACTCAGCTCCCTGTGTGTTCTTGAGCACCAAATTGACAGTTTTTAACCTGAAACAAAGGAACCATTTTCTAATAATACTTTACAGACAGCTTTAAGTTTTACTAAATGAGCTTTAGTGTATTACTGTATGATCACTATATGAATTCTGTACCTATTATTCAATTAGCAAAGTGTATTTTACTTATTAAACTATTCATACCCTGCTTTTTCATCCATTTTTTTAGAAGAATGAAACAGAAGGTGCAATAAAATGTGAGGGACAAGATTACTTACTTACTTTTCAATATAAATGGAAGACATGGAGTAAATCTGATCCATATTCTGAATTACAAGATTAAGCTCTGACCGCAAAGTAGGGACTGAGGGTGAACCAGCAGCTTGACTGAAAAACTCATCACATTTATCCGTGACTGTTTCCAAATCTTCTTTAAGTCGATCCAACTCCTTCTTCAGCTTCTACAAAACAGAAGGTGAATTACATTTCCCCTAGAGCATGGGGTTTCAAACAAGAACTGAGGAGGAGCTGTAGCTCAGTGACAGAGGATGCATGCAAAAAGTCCACAGTTCAATCTAATCTCCAGTAAAAGGATGAGAACATAATTTAGAACTCAGCTCAGCATGAAACTCCAATTAGCTGAAGTGCCCACTTTTAGATGACATAAATTGGAGCGAGACTGAAGACTTCTTAAACAAGGACAGTTCCATATACTACGAGAGGGGACAGGGAGCATGCAAATCTGGTAATAAATCAAGTTTGTGATCATCAAGAACAAACTCCAGTTTGCCTGTAACATTTGAATAGAGAACTGCTTATGGTTTAATGCTCTGTGCACATGGAAAGAGATTTTACAGAGATCATATGAGCACCTCCAAATGAAGCATTGTGTTGGAACCCTATCATTTCACAATGAATCCATGTAGGAAAAAACTGCCTGAGATTTCTGTTCTGTCCTCTAATGGATGCAGCTCTGGAAAACCAGTATGGATGATGGATCTCCGTGTAACATTACCATGTAGATATGCTCATATGATTTCTTTACTTGTAAAAGATTATTATAAATCATGGGTCTCGACTTTGGAAGGAGTCTGTCAAACACACAGGATCAAGGGAGAGCACAAGGCTTAATTACATTAGTTTCTTACAGACCAAGAATCTGATCTTGCTATATCATTTTTTACTATATATCATCCAAAATACGCCCTCACAGTAGTGAACAAGTATTTTAGAAATATAATAAAATACAATACCAGAACAAAACAAAAAAACTACCTCAGCCCAGCTAAAGCAGTCAAAAGTCACAAGAACTGCAATTCCCAAATCAAATGCCTTCTTAAATGAGACTGTGTGTAAACAGTGTTCAGGAAGTTCTCAGAGAAACCAGCTTCCTTAGACAGGATGTTCCAGAGGGAGAGAATCAGACGACTCCCAAACCTATAATTAGCTGATGGCCCAAATTAATACTTTTCTTCAGTTAAGACATTTGCTTAACAGCTGCAGTTCATTCATTATGATTTGTAGCTACAGCAATGAAGGTAATTACAAGGTTATAGTTCCTTCTGAATGAACCCTTTATGCACTCATAATTACTCTGAAGGCTCTAGTACTAACAACAGTGTTTTTGAGCATGGGACTTCATAGGTATGCACTCAGAAAACTCACTTCTTGCTCAGAAATCCGAAACACACTTTCATGTAGGTCATCTCTCTCCAGTGGGGTTCGAATCTGCCTAATCAAACGATCTTCACAATTCTCCAAACGAAGTCGGATGTTTCGTACTTCTGAGATGTAGAGGTTGTAAATGGATTCCTCATGCTCCTCTGTTAGAAGAAATAACATGTTTATAAATCGAGCTAAGTATTTTAATTTTTTTCTGCCATCACATGGCAATTTCAGTGTCACAGTGTTTTCCTTTTCTTTTAGAAAGAAACAGCTCAGGAAACATGCAGTTACTATTAAACGAAAGCCATCAGGAGCAATGTTGGATGCTGAGGGGAGAGCAGTGAAAATCAGAGGTGTCTTGCAATTCTTCTTTACAAATTTCTCCATGTCATATGAAATACGGATTACGTACCTCCCATAAAAGGGGAGTTGTGTGAACCTCTTCACCTCTCCAAGTAGAGAGAAGTAAAACTTCTATTTCAATACAACAGACAGATTCAGGATGTGCAAAGAATTTATGCTTCCTTCTTCCGATGCATGATTATCACCATCGTCATAACTTGAAGTTTTTCTCAAATACTTGCATATTTTTGGAAAGAATCTATGTACACTCCTCTCCTCACCCAAAAATACACATCCATAATGTGTGCTTATCGTTTTAGTCACTAGTATTATAATTTCCTTTGTGCATGGATGCTGATTAAGTGGATTGTCCATGACTGTTAATGTTCAAATGATTCCACAGCAAAATGATATTAAATCCATAGAAGCAAGTCTCTTATCATTTATTTCAGATAGTCAATAAGTATAGCTGTGCTCCAGTGACAGAGGAGTACTGTAATCAGCTTTAAACTGCTATGCCCCCCCCCTCAATATCAGGCTGAATGCATAACACAATATATCTATTCAGCTTTTAAAAACTCAGGCATTTATCCAGCTTTAAGAAAAAAGGCTCATTTACGTTTTTGAAGCTTAATAATATTATATGTTTTCAGAAGGGAGACAGAATATTTACAATAAGAATAAACTTTGAAGACATTTGTCTTTAGGGATGTTATCAATGTCTTTCCCAATTAGTCCATAATACCCTTAAAAAAATAAAAACTAGGTAAAACAAACATAAATAGAGGCATACAATATTCCTTGTAAAGTATATTTTTGAACATTTATGAGCAATAACAATGCATTCTTCCCTATTTTTCCACCTGCCAGAATGACAGTTCTATTTAATCAAACTCACAAATCTTTGTTAACGGTAAAATCAGTGTACTCCAAAACTGATTTTAGGCTGAATCTGAGTTTATTGGTCAAACATGACATTAAATTTTCAGACAAAAAACAACAGACTAATTATTCTTGAATTTACAGTGCACATGTGTTTGAACAGGTCTTGAGTGATGTTAGCAATAAAACAGAAGGGTTGTCATATAGGGAATGCTGGGGATTAGTTCTTTTCACCTCCTCCCACCGGCCTTCTGTGCTTCGGATCACAGGTGATTTCTTCAAGAGCATCTAAGACGATGGACAGCTCACTGATTCTGCCTAAGTGTACATGCTAACAGTGCCATCCTAAGTAGTTACATCCTTGTAAGCTTCAAGAACTTAGAAGGGTGTGACTCTGCTTAGGAGTATACTGTAAGTGCATTTACTGTAGCCAGATGCCCAGTGCAAAAATCACTTGTGTTTGTTTATTTTACCTATGGTTTAATCTGAGTGATTCAACCAAAGGTAAAAAAACAAATGAGGAAAAACAGTCTCCCACAGGAGAAGTGTTTTCCCCATATATCAAAGGAATCACTGATCAAATGGGAAAACTTATGAAAAAACACAACCTAGAAACAGTATTCAGACCCACCAGAAAAATACAACAGATGCTACAATCGGCAAAAGACAGAAGAGACCCCCTCACTTCTGCAGGAGTATACTGCATACCCTGCAGTTGAGAACAGGTTTACATAGGGACCACACAGCGTAACATTCAGACAAGAATAAAAAAACATGAAAGACACTGCAGACTGGGCCAACCTGAAAAATCAGCAGTGGCTGAACATAGCCTAACTCAAACAGGACATGGTATCTTATTCCAAGACACTGAAAGGCTGGGCAACACATCCAATTACCATGTCAGATTATACAGGGAAGCCACTGAAATTCATAAACACAATTTCAACAGGAAAGAAGAAAGTTTAAAAATAAATAGGGCATGGTTTCCAGTCCTGAAAAACACAAAATGCTCTACATCTTACAACAGCACTACAGATAAGATTAGAATTTCAACAGCCAATCCATATGCAAAAGAACCTCCTCAGGAAAACTCCTCCATTAGCATGTCAGAGCCTGGGAAACTCCTACAAGATAATGACTCAGCCCTACCCCACCTTCCTGAGTAGATATAAATTACCTGCCTACCATTTTTCTTCGCACTTTGACACAGAGAGTACTCCATCTTTCTGTGTTATGCCTCTGAGGATACCAGTCACAGCTGCTGGTGAAACCTCAGGTCCTACAATGCCAAGACCACGGCCATACAGCCCAGAAAATCTACAACAACTGATGAACTCCGGCTGTGAAAGCCTTCGACAACATGTTATTAATGTTTTAATTATTTTACCTTGATGTTTTTATGAATGATGTACATCGATCAGAGCCTTGCATTGCAGGGATTGGGCCATGAACAAAATAAATAAATGAATAAATAAACTTTTAAACAGCACAGTTTTTTCCCTTTTCAGTTTTACATTGGTTCTTACTTTGGTATGCACTTGGATCAAGCCCTATTCTCACACCTGCCATAACCCCACACACACACACTTTGAAGTCTAAACTGATACCACTGTAAAACAGCCATAACACAGTTCACATGTATAAAAGCTGACGATGCAGCACATACCACTTGGCATCTTGTAAGGAAACTCTCATACTTTTAAAATTTATTAACTTACCTCTCTCAGCAGACTTAAGGAGCTCTTGGTAGTACTCCTTGCAGACATTCACCTCTCTTTCCAACTGTGCAATGTCAGCAACAGAGAAGACTTTAGACTCCTGACTGTCTTCCAGAAAGTCATCAAAACGGGACTGCAAGTTGCTTAAAACCTGCTGGTGTTCCCCTGGCAAGAGTGTCTTTATCTAGGAAAGTTTGGGGGGGGGGATCAGTGTCTTTCCATCAGTGGAGACCATTTAACAACAGAACATGAGGACCATTTCACTGTTATGTCAGTTCCTTAACACTGTACTGAAGGCTTAAATATGTAGCACTCATATTGTCATTTAAGTCTTTGCCTGACTTGTAGCAGCACTTTAGAAGAAGGCAGAAGAGGACGTATGCTTCAGTAAACAAAAGAGAAGTCAATTACATTTCATGTCCATTAGGTGGCTTAATTGTGCCGCAATACAGACAGTGTGATGCTTAAAGATCTATTTCTTTAACACCCCCCATGCAACCCTAATTGGACCAAAGCTCCCACTTGTGCATACTGGGTGCACATCAGCCCTTCTTGAAACGGTGGTGCATTTCCAGCAAACATGCCTATCAGTTAAGGCATCAGGCTGCTCTTAGTCTCATCTCATAAAAGGTCAAACTATATATGCATCCAATAAAATGTTGTGGTAAGGATAAACTGCTGAAATATTTTATGTTAGAAAAAAAGAAAGAAATCTTTAGTTTTAGACACCATGGATACTCCCTTCTGAAGCATAGAACATTTGCCCAGGTACACTTTGGATGAATGTAGCAAAAGGCACATAACCTACCGAAGCAACGTTACCAGCTTGAACAGTTTCAATTTCATGCGTCAAGTAATGCCAGGAGACCACACTCTTCATGTTTATATGTGATTCATGCCAAAGGGTTAAGACATTCTGATATTGCTGTTCAATTCTGAAACGCACAAAGGAAAGGTAAAATGACACACTAAATTAACACAAGACAGAGTGAAAATAGGACATATGTTATTCATTTCCAATACCAATACTCTTACCATGAAGTGATCCTGAAAGCCAAAAAACAAACAAAAAACTATGCAAAAGGTCTTCAGTGCTTTGTGTATGCACTGTGCTCACTCATACCTGTTTGCAGTGTCTATTGCTTCTTTGTTTGGTGGAGGAACTGTGAAACATACAGAAGGAACCATAGCCTCATTACCACTCGGACTAATCACTTTCCACTTTGCCCGGTGTGAATTGCTTGCTAGAACACATTCATCATCTTTGTAAATGGTTATCTAGTTTTCAACAAAAGAATAGCAAAAAGACAATGAGTCAGTAACATTCTCGCCCTATTCTCACAAAACATTTTGGTCAATGGTGAGAATAAAACAAAAAAACAGAACAAAACAGAAAACCACCCAACTCCCAACCGGGAAGACAAAGACTTGCTGTGTTTACTAGGATGGAAGAGACTTCCAGGATCTTGTCATTAATATAACCTCATCTGTCTTCTCACACCCATAATTGATTGGAAGAAATTCAAGGTTCCAACCTCTATTTGCCTATAATCACAGATGGCTTTAATTGGGATGGATGTTTTGAGTAGATTATCTGGATTCCTCGGCTTCAGCTGAACTATACTCTTGGATCTCCCCACAAGGCCTGCCACGGTGCTCTTGTATTGCAGAAGTTGTTCTTTTTCTTCCTAAATGCCAGTTTTTAATAAAAGGAAACAAACATTAGGAAGTAGCTACAAATTCAATGTGTTTTTCTTCTAAGGTTTTAAATCTTTTCTCCTGCTTTCTGTGGTGCTTTCTGTCTTCTACAACTTTATTCAGATGAATTAGTCCTGAGTTTAGATAGTAACTACTACTCTCTAATAATCATAATTCAGTATTATCTTGTAGAGATGTCAACACTGAATAAAGCATACTATGATACGTTAAGGTAATCCAGTATACAATACTGGGGAGAGGAGAACCACTCACTGATGGTTTTTAGTAGTTAGGGGTAAGGGAACAAAACCTGATGCCTGAGCACAGCTCACAAATTGTATTTGGCCGCACAGATGAAACAAATGGATGTCTGTGGTTCCAAATGCTGATGGTCCAAGTGGGATGCTTTTTCTTCTGTGAAAGGAAACTCTTTGCAAACTCACTTTGCCTGTTTCCTGGCTCATGAAAGAGGACAGAATGCCTCTGGGTGGAAACCCATGTGTACACTCAGACCCTGTGATCGGTGAACAGTGGCTACTGTGCACAGCTGCTGCTGATAATGAATCAGCCTATCAGCTGCTCACCATGATGTGTTGAGGGCCCTAATAATTGCTTTTCTTTCATTTGTTTCAGGTGTGAAAGTGAACAGAAATGGAGGGCTACAGGCTATCAACAGAAATTATTCTTAATGTTTGAGCAACAAATTGCAGGGCTCTGGGCAGAACATATCATCTATATCACTCACTGCTTTTGGTTTAAAAGTGTCACAAACTGACTGTTCAGTATAATTTGTGGCTAGAAGGCTGAAGATAATTGTGAGGTTAGTTCCCTTTGCAGTTTACAAGCCCATCATTAGTTTTTGGGTTATCTTTTATCTCTTAAACTCCAGTTGCAAAAGCCACAATGATTTCATTGGAGTTTCTACAGGAGATAATATTTGCTAAGGCATTTGCATTCTTACCATGGACTCCTGGATCAGATCTTCCAGTTTGTGAATGCTACTGGACCTATCACAGCTGTACTTTCGTTGTACGGTATCTCTTAAACTCTTCAAATAATCCATAGCCTCTTTGGCATCATTGAAAAACTAGAAGAAAACACATCTTTTAGCATAAAGATAACATGGCAACCCTGAGGTTATGTCAGTCAGTGACAGGACGTTCAGATTGATAATACTACACTATTTTACATTTCTGCTAGTGATCTGAAATAGACAGACAGATGAGGGACTTTAAAATTTTGTCCTAAGCAAATGAGAAAATTGGGGGGATCCCCCTCCTCTCCCATAAGTTTAAGTCAAAAAGGAGACTGAATGAAAAAGGACAACTATCTCTCTTACTATGGCATATAGAGAGCAAATGATTGGTGGTATTGATCTTTAAGCAACCCCCCCCCCAAAAAAAACAATAACAACAACAAAGTAGAAGAATGATTTAATTGATGCTCTTTTCAAAAACTCAATGCATGGGAAGGAACACATAGTGTCCTGGGCCATTTTAACCAAGCCAGAATACTTGGTGGTTACATTTACACACTCTCTCTCTTTTCTTTGGGTGGGGAGGGGTAGGCAGTTGCACCCGTATAATAAGGAAGGCTCTCAAAATTTGCCAACTCAGATTTTGAATGATTTAATATACAATCAGTGGGTTTTATCCAACCATGCAGGTCCAAAGACTTAAGGGCACTTCCATCTTTGGAAGAGGAGGCAGCATTTTGTACCTATACTCCCCTCCAACTAGTAAAAGACTGCTCGAAAGCCAGTCGAATCCAACTCTAGGGATGCGGTGCTCATCTCTGTTTCCAAGTCAAAGAGCCAGCGCTGTCCAAAGACATTTCCATGGTCATGTGGCTGGCATGACTAGACGTCGAGGTACACGGAATGCTATTACCTTCCCACCGAAGCGGTACCTATTTATCTACTTGCAATTTCTTGCTTTCGAACTGCTAGGTTGGCAGGAGCTGGGACCAGAGACAGGAGCTCACTCTGTCATGTGGCACACTGGGTCTCGAACTGCTGAACTACCGACCTTCTGGTCTGCAGTTCAGCGTCTTAACCACTTAACCCCTACCACTGCAGACCCCCAATTTGCCCCCTGCTATTTTTAAGACAAACATTTGTAGTTTTGCCATGACTGTATTCATGTACTTTACCTCAAAATATGCAGTATTTTCTCTTAAATGCTGTTCAACACACTGGCAAAGTTGTAAAATCCAGCTCCACTGTGTTTGCATTGCAGCTCTGTAGGCCTTAAAGGCATAGGGAAGGGGAAAAGAGTAATGATTGTTTGTGCAGCAGCAGCAGCAGCATGTCACACAAAAGAGAATCAGAGGCTTTAAGCCACAAATACAGTTGATAACCATAACAACTTGGTTTTACTTTACAGCAGAAAGTGTCAGTCTATGTAGCAGCCTCCAACAATGTAAGAAACTTTACAAGAACAGAATAATTTTTATTATATAGTACTTTCAACTGTTCAAAGTACTTCATAAATATCACCTTGCAATTCTTACAACCACCTTTGCAGTAGATCAGTCTTATCATTCCCCTACTGCAAATCAGTACACAGACCAAAAGAGAGCAGCTCACCTAAAACCACCTAGAGACTTCATGAGATACAAGATTCAGAGCACTTTATAGCTCTACCCACTAAACTATACCTGTTTGCTGTGTTTCTGCAAAAATTAACAACACTTACTAAAATTTGTAACATTCCAAAGGGTAGTCTGTGGCATCAAAGATATCACGGAGTCTTATGCCATCTTAAAGACTAACGAGGAGCTCATATTGTTTTCCTCTCCTCCATTTTACCCTGTGAGGTAGGCTAGACTAAGAGTGTGTGACTGGACCAAGATCTCCCAGCAAGCTTTGCATGGCAGAGTGGGGATTCAAAGCTGGGATCTCCCAGATCCTAGTCAGACAGTCTAACCACTACACCACACTGGACTCTCTCAGAATCAAAACTTTTATTCTGATGATGCGGACTCTAGCTCAGAAAAAATAATGCTATTATTAGAACTTGTTAGTCTCCGAGGTGCCCCAAGACCCCTGCTTATAAAATTAAGTTTCTTATTAGATTGCTTAATGTTATACGTGGCCTTAATTTTTCCAGTACTATCTGCTGCATTTCCGTTGCTCTATCATGGCATTAGTAAGGCCAGCAGAGGCTGCTGTATATACTTTAAACTGAGAATGCTCCCATTTAGAGTCCAAGACATTTCCTCCCCTGAGAGACAAATTTCAATCAACCTTGGCGCATTTAAAGAAAAAGAGACAGTCTATACAGATTTCACAGGAGATATCAATATTGATATATCCATTCCTACTTAATCAAAACGCTGGCAATATCACACACACACACACACTAGTTGCAGTGCTGGCTCTTTAATAAGAGAAAAAGCATCACAGTGTCCAGGTACTTGTATAAAAGCCTCACTGTTCCAGAATGTAACCCCACATGGCTATCCTGCTATGTCGCGCAGTTATGAAACAGGAAATTTGGACATCTGCACCAGTGCAGTCCTAAGCAGAGTTACAACTTTCTAAGCATACTGACTTCAATGGGCTTAAAAGGGTACACTGTTAGGCACCTACAGTAGTTAACATGCATTTTAATGTAAAACAGATTACCTACATTAAAAGACTTGATTCCAGTCCAAAATAAATCTAATGTCCAAACAACATCTCAAGTTTATGAGTAAGTGTGTGCGCCTCAACTTCACACCTTAAAAGGAGGCAATGTGATGAAACCTTGATATATGGAAGCACACTGGAAAGTCCATTTCAGTCCAACACAAGAAAACCAAAGGCTCAGTGATGGGGAACGAACGTCACTCTCACTTTAATGCTAGCCCTAGCTGCTGTACTGGAGGATCAAACTTTCCTGTCTTTTTGTTGTTGTTACTTCCACAGTCCAAGAACCATCCAATTATGCTGAGGTCTTCAGGAGAGATATAGATATACACACACTACATACACTTGACATATCCTCAAAGAGGCTATTGTATTGTATCAAATACCCTATCCTATGAACAACAAAGTGTTTGGTGGCACATTAATACATTGTGATATGAATTTCTGAGGAACAGATCCCATTTCATCAGATGCATGAGGCAGCATCTTCAGTTGTGAGGTATATGTGCTCTAATAAATAATAATAATAAAGAATAAATTTCTAATAAATGGCCACAAGGTGCAACAGGTATTATTAGGTGCTTCTCGTGATTATGCAGAGCTTCTCATGACTATGTATAAAAAAGATAAAATTTTAGACAAACATTTTTTGAAACTGGAACACAAATTTAAAGGTACCCAGTAAATAAGGATGTAAGTGTACAGAGGAGGGCAACCAAGATGATTATGGGGTTGGAGCACCTTCCCTATGAGGAAAGGCTGAAGAGGCTGGGACTTTTCAGTTTAGAAAAGAGACAACTAAGGTCGGATTATATGCATGGGGTGAAGAGAGCTGAGAAAGAGAAATTTTTCTCCCTCTCCCAAAATACTAGAACATGATGACATCCATTGAAACTGATGGGCAGTAGGTTCAGGATGGACAAAAGGAAATACAACTTTACACAGAGAGATTAAAATGTGAAATTCATTGCCAGAGGATGTAGTGATGGCCACAGGAATAAACAGCTTTAAAAGGGTCTTAGATAGATTCGTAGAGGATAAGTCTGTCAATGGCACTAGTAGGGATGGGCATGAACTGATAAACAAACACCGGTTCATGATTCGTGAACCAGGGGTTTGGGAGACTGTGTCTCCAATGATCTGCCACACGAACCTCCATGTTTTTTTATGGAGGTTTGTGGGAGGATTCGTGTAGGCTTCAAAACCATTTAAATACCTTCAGAGCTTATTTCCAGATCCAGCAGCCCGACCAGAGGTGAGCTCCAAAGGCATTTAAATGCCACTGGAACCCACCACCGAAGGAGCTTACTTCCAGGTCGGACCACCCTAACAAAACTTAGGTCCAAAGGCATTTAAATGCCTTCAGAGCCCACCTCCAGGTCGGGCTGGCCCAACTGAGCTCCAAGAGTGAAGCTCTGAAGGCCTTTATAGGCATTTAAATGCCTTCATGGTTCACTTCTGAGCAGCTCAAGTGAGCTCCAAAGGTATTTCATGCCTTTGGAGCCTACTTCCAGGTTATTTTGCAGCCACACCCACAACTGGAAGTGAGCTCTGGAAACATTTAAATGCCTCTAGAGCTCACTCCTGGGTGGAGCTGAGGCCCAACGAACTTCCCAAAGCACGAACCAGTTTGTGCAATGGAGAAGTTCGTGGAAGTTCAGGGTTCGTGAAAACCCCAAACCTCAATTTTTCTGCTTCATGCCCACCCCTAGCTACTAGCCATGGTGACTGACTGGAACCTCCACATTCAGAGACACTAAGCCTCTGAGCCAGGAAGCAACATCAGAGAAGGTCTTAGCCTCAATGCCTCGTTGTTGGCTGTCCAGAGGAACTGATTGGTCACTGTGTGAGTCAGGATGCTGGACTAGATGGACCACTGGTCTGATCCAGCAGGGCTCTTATTATGTTCTTATGTCCTAATACCCTATAAATAAAACCTTGACAGACTGTTAAATCCATGTATCCTTGTTCCTAGCCCATACTTAACCTACCTCAATAGTTAATCTTGCAGGGTGGTTTTCTAGGAGCAATTGTTCTGCTATTTCCTGAACCGATTTAATCACGTCTTCTTTCTGATCAAGTTCTCTCATCAGTTCCTTCGAATTTAAAAATAATTAGCTTTAGAAACCAGATGGAAACAAGAAAGGTACTCATAACTTTGTTTTGACTTACATTAATGATACTTACGGCATGGTACTCTTTCTTCCTTGCTATATTTGTGTTTCTTTCACTCCAGTCATACGCAACCTCCTCTTCCTCTTTTTCATTCAACCATATGAGTTCTCTGGTAGCACGAGATACAAAGTTGTGAAGGGTGTCAAGGTGTCTTTCCTGATTTCTTGAAGTATTCTTAAAAAGTGACAGAGGGGGGGAAAGTTTTTTTTCCTCCTTCAAACCTCTTATTATCAAAGCAAGAGCCATTTAAAAGCTGAACTTTCAAACAGTTATCTTACCAGGAGTTTTGCATATTGGCTCTCCAGTTTGTGCAATTTTTCTGCATAGCTAAGTTTAAGAGGAGCAGTCATTTGGATCTGTGAAAAACAAATGGGGGTCAAAGGAAAAAAAGATTAAGCAATATTTGACAATTAAGACAAGGATAAGACAAGGGTATGATACAACATTAAAGCACAGTTGTGCAATCCAAATACAGTTATGAAACCTGTAATTAGTTTAGACATAATTCAGTTTTTAAAAGTACACATATATACACTGCCAGAAGGCATCTTTTTTTGTTTATGCTGTACCTCATTGACTTTTGCTTCTTTAAGGCTTGACTCAAATTCTTCAATAGCTTTATGAATGTTCTTGTGATTTTCTGCATGGCTTTCCACACTCGACAAATCTGAACCCCATTCAGCCCGATCCAGTTGCACCTTATGGGCAGAAGTTGAAAATTAATTTTGAACCTTCACAGACATTAAGGAGGAGGATTATCTGGAAATAGAAAACCGCACACATAGAGGTTACCTGCATTTCATCTACCCATCTTAAGAGATCCTGGACAAATTTCATGTTGACTTCCTCCTCCGTTAAATTCTGGTCAACAAATGCTGATTTCATCAAGGGCTTCCGGATCTGCATCAGTTTAAATGTTTGCAGTGCACCACTGTCCACACCTGTCAGGTAGCTTTGAATTAACCGTGGAGGAAAACCTGGTGTGCATGCTGGGGTAATGGATGGAGTCAGTCTTGAAGAAAAACCTGATGATAAACCTGATGTCAGACTGGATGAAGTCAGGGAAGGGGATAAACCCTGGCTCAGTCCAGAATTTAAAATAGGTGCAAATCCTGAGTTTAAGCTTTGTGTTATTCCTGATATCATCATCTTGGTCTGTTCTGTTGTCAGCGTTCTCCCCTTGCTGTACATCGAGGAGCACTCTGCTCTTAAGGCCATAAGGTCATCTCTTAGTCTTGCAACCCTGTTTTAAAAGCCATAACAGCAGCATTTAGTATAGAAACAAAAAGAACAGGACACTGTAACAAACTTTTAGTAGAGGAATTTAGCACAGGCATTCAGCCCATTCGCTCTAGAACAACTTTTTGAGAGACTGGTAAAACTGGTGCATGGGAAGGTTTGTGGTACAGCAGCAGCAGGTGGGCCTCAGTGTGCTAACAAAGGTGTGTAATTCAGACATAGCAAAACCATCATTTTAATTACTGGCTTACAAAAATTTAAATTAAAGTGTCTCTGTTCCAGCTCACTCTTTTCTATGACTTAGAGTTCAGATACTAAAAGTAGGATTCTCCACATACATCATCAGCTAACTCCAGAGAAGATTAAAGGATATTAACCAAATTAAAGTGTCAAAGTGTCTGTGCAATTTTTAAAAACCCTGATTACCAACAAACCAGGTAGTCCATCAAATAGCCCTAGCTTCAGCTCACAGAGGAAAAATTGCATACCGTAATTTATTTAAGTCACCAAATTCAGGACAAATTCAGCTAAAGTTAAGTATTTGCAGTACAATCCTAAACACAGCTAGATTCAAGTTCAGTAGCACCTTAGAGACCAAAAAGATGGAGGGGAGGGCGCTAAGCTTTCAATAGTCTTAAACACAGTTCCACCTAAGTCAACCGAGGGCACTGGAATTCTACTTGAGACTGCACTGTAAATTTCCTTACACATCCTGACGGCTCTCTTCATCGTATTAAACACAGTTCCACCTAAGTCAACTGAGGGCACTGGAATTCTACTTGAGTGCACTGTAAATTTCCTTACACATCCTGACATAGTTTTTACTGTTAGTATATTCCTGCTAACACAGCAGAGACTGTCAGTTGCAAACTTTATTATGTATCTGCATAACCCATTCTACAAGCATATATTAAACGTATATTTATCAGTGGCTTGTTAATTGCATGACACTATGTAAACAGGTAACACAACATTTAATTTACTAGGGCTTGCTTGAGAACAAAACCCAAGCGATTGGGCCATGATTCGATAGACACGTTTGTACTGAATTTTCTTTCTCCAGTTCAAGCTACACTGCACACACAGAAAAGCATTTCTATGTAAAAAGCTATATTTTAGCATTTCCCACTTGCATAGAGTTCCTGCTTCTTCGGTTCCTTGGGATATGTTTATTTAGATGTTCAGTGTGGCCTTGCTAGCCCAACTTTAGGAGAGCTAGAATTTTATAAAAACACCTGTTAGGACATACAAAGTATGCATAAATGCATATACCTCTGGACCAGCTGATCTGCCTGATAATATTTTCCATCAAGAAGAATCTGGGCATCCATGACTTGTTGGCGCAATAGATTCTCACATTCAAGTAAACAGCCTGCAATCTCTGCCTCATTCTGGAACTGCAAACCCGATTCTAATCGTTTTGAATCCTATATTAAGAGAGCAAAACCAGTGATGTGAGCAGTTGGGGGAAAAAACTTTAAAAGAGATAGAACAATGTAATATTTTGTACACTGAAATGCATCATAAATCATTCTGAATTAATGCAAATTATAATCTTTACTTCTGGGTAAAATTATGGTAGAAGAAAAGTCTATTAGCAAGATAAGTAAAAGGTACATTTTAATTCTGACCTTGTGAATTTGGCTTGTTTCCTAATGTACATCAAATCAGATTGATAGATTAGATAGGTCAATGTACAGACACAAACACAAACACACACACACACACATATATATATAACGGCTTGCCTCATCAGATATATGTGGTAGAAAAATTGTGGGGTGCACATATGACAATGTCACCTTACTAGTCTGTTAAACAACTTTTTTATTTTCAAAACAAACAAACATAAAATTGGGGTACAATATTCCATATCATTCTTTCCCCCTATTAAACTACCTCATACATTATCAAAATCTATATCATTTTTCCACCTTATGGTATCATATAATATTTGCAAATATGTGGCTATACAATTTCTGACTTTCTACTAATATGGACTTTGTCTAAGCATTTTATCAAAGTTATTTAATTGGGTATATAGAAATGCATAGTTCTTTATTTTCTTCTGGAAGCAAATATATTAGGATCTTACTCCATTATAAATCTCAGTAATTCCCTCAGTAATTTCTCCTCCTTTTTGTGACTTTCCTCTTTTTCTTGATTTTCTGATTTCTTCTCTTAAGTTTTAATGTCTTAATTCTATGTCTTTTTCCCTTATAAGTGTATAAGTTGTCTTCTGGAAGTAGCCATCTGTACTCAGTCTTGGAAATGGTTTGTAGTTCCATGTATTGGTTTCTTTGCTCTCTTTGGGGTGGTGTGTGACTCATTATTTTGGAAATTTCATCAGCAATGATTCTTTTTTAAAGTCTCTGATGCACTTTTATAGTAACTTTATTTCTCTTTGTAGGTACAGATTCGTTCCTGTAGATCCTGTCCAACTTGACTGTAGATTTCCTCTATGTCTTCTGCATCGTTCTGCCCTTTTTTCTCCTCTTTCCGTATCTCCCTCTTAGTTGAGGCCTGATACATCAGTATTTCCATTTCATTTTGTACAGGGTAGAGTATTTCTTCAACAGTGATTTTTACAGCCATAACAGCTGAGTTCTGAATCATAAACTGCAAGTCTTTCAAAGAAAGCTGTAATAATTCATTGTCTATTGGTTCCAGTATATCTAGAAATAAAACCTCTGGGGCCCTCCACAATCTATCAGTGTCTGCCATTTTTTCAACGTGTTAAAACAAGAGAATCTCTAAAATATTTTCCAACAAAGTTTTACAATAACATCACTTCTAATGAGCATATATCAACAATCACTGTAGTCATATTAAAGACAGAGACAGTATCAACATAAGTCAGGAATGTTATCAGGTATTCACAGTAGAAGACATTGCAGTCAGAAGAAATGTAGCTTTTTGTTTTTTGGGTTTTTTTGTAAAGATAAACATAAATTGTTATGGGAATGTAGTATGTGAAAAGTTCAGAGTAAGATCCATTTTTCTTTTTACCCTTTAAAAAAATAAAATCTTGATAATCCATGTATTGAATTATAGTTGATCCTAGTCCTTATTTCAACAGGGTTAATTAGTCTTTTACAAGGTCTTTGTGTAGTTCCAGATGTTTTATTTTTAACTCCAAAAAGGATGAAGAAAATATATTGCTAGTTCACTAAGGTTCAAAATCAAATTTAAGCCGTTCCCCCCGCAAAAAAATTTTATATTCCACAAAGTACAGTCTTAGACAAGGTCTTTCTGATTTCTTCACCCAAGAGGCTGTTTAAAGAGTTGCTTTAAGTCCTTTTTCTAGCCACTGTAAGGGGGGGTGGGGGCGAGAGGGAAATTCTTCACCCTTCCATTCCGTTGCCTTTTAAACTTTAAAGGGGCTTTGACGATGAATAGTAGACTTTCTGATATTGTTGCTTTAAAATGTACTCACGGTGTTATACTTCATTGGTGTTATGGATGAGGTTCCAGTTTCTCCCCCTTCACTGGGCAGTCACGACTGCATGCCCCTGTCTAAACAAGGGCGCTCTCAGCTGGCTTCTGCATCGGGGCACATTCGGATCTTCCACTCACTTGCTGCCGCTTGCAGAGGGATCCAAATCAAGCTCTTTGCAATAAGCTCCTCTATGGGGAACTCATTGGAGTTTGGGAGCCCCCAAACCCCTCTAAAGAAGTCAGTGATCCAGTCAACACTCGGGAGAGCTTCCCGGTGCAACTGTTCCTGTCGTGCCGAAACCCGGTCTCTCACCTTCTTACTATTCTGTATTTTTACATACACATAAACAGTTCAGAAGTCACAAGAAAGCTTTCACAACTATCAGCTTGAATAATCTGTTAAAAGACATTTAGATGCAGACAACTATAAACTTCCAGTCTTAGAAATATTCTTAATTTCTAATAGGAATATTTCCTCCTTAACAACCATCCCACCCTAGCATCAATTTTAAAATGTATCTTGCACTTATATAACAGAGGTCACCTTTTGGAAAGTTCTCTTCATCTTCCTGGGGAGGAAGATAGGCGAAACCTCCACTCATGGTGGAAATTATCTGAACAATTATTTTTTGCTCCACAAAAGAAATGACTCTGAATGTAGCTAACATGTTCAAACCACTTCCACAACACTTAGAATAGCTACATTCAAGTCCAGTAGCACCACAGAGACCAACAAGATCTTCGGAGTATGAGCTCTCAAGCTCCCTTTGTCAGATATCAGAGCTCTGACTTTCATAAGTTCATATCCCAAAAAACGTGTTGGTCTCTAAGGCACTACTGGAATTGAATCTAGCTGATCTACAGCAGGCTACCACACCTGCTCTCTGAAACACTTAGAAGGTATGTTTGTTTTCACCTTAAAGCTATCACTTCATCTTTTGTTGACCGGCTGAAATCCTGATGTGCCACTAAGGCGAAATGTGTAACTAAGTCGTTTTACACCCAGATATTTACATTTATATATCATGTCTACAAACCCAACTTCTCACTCCTTTTCATTTTATAAGTGGAATGAGTGCATATAGTGCAACACTCATTTACGTATCATTGCTGCTGTCAAGTAACCCAAGTGTTTCTCTCTTCACTGCAAAAATCCTGATAAATAACAGCCACTACAGTTCCCAGATGAAAAACCTGAGAGCTGAGGCTGATGGACAGTGACTTCCTTTTGACTACCCTGTAAGTACAAAGCTTTGCAAACATTTTAAGAGAGAACTGGCCGTTCTAGTTTCACCACTTCAACCATAGACGGCACTAATTCTCATTACAGAAGGTGTGTGTGTGGAGGGCAGACATTTAAAGGCACTTACTGATTGCACAGCATTTCGAGCAAGCATTAGTTTGTCTTCACAGCTCAGGCTGTCTCGCTGCAGTCTGTTTGCAATCTGTTGCAGCATTTCTAACCTAAAAGATGTCAAAGTTAAAACAAATCATATGAGGCTGGTCATTACTGACATTACTGTTTCTGACAACATAAAACAACGCCACATTTTGCAACATAATTCCAGCACTTACCTGGATCCTTCCATGGGCCCATTGCCAAAACTTATACAAGAGTTAACAAGAGTTGGACCACAGTTAACAGATAAGAAGTTTTCATTGGAGTCAATGCTGGTTCGGGTGCTAGTGCTGTTACTAAACAAAGAGTCGCTGCTGTGGTAGCCGTAATTATTAGTATTCATTTTTTTTTTACTGCTAAAAAGCTGCTCCACTGGCCATTTAAAAAGCTGAAAAGCCTCCTAAAACATATAGCTTCCAGGGATTCTCTGGTTTTTAAAGACAGCTCAGACTTTGCATCCTTAAATACTTCCCGACATGCATATGCAAAACCCTGCAAAAAATATTCTGATACCTCTTCAGAGGACTTTGCCTACAGCTATGTATGCCAATGAGGGCTTGGTTTCTCCAGCTTGAATTACCTGTACAAGTATGGGCTAATCAGAATGATTAGGGCGTTAACTGGGATAGAGAGATGCCAAATATTTTATGTAAGCCTCATCCAATTTCAACAAGCTAAATGATGAAAGGAGGATGGGTTTGGGGAAGGGACCCTTATCCTACAGTTCCACATTTTCTTCAGTGAAAAAGGGATGATTGACAAAGTGACATCTCATTTTTTAGTGTTCTCTTAAAAATAAAAAGATCTTCATGATAGTTATACACTCTTCAGTGGGGCTCCCAGTGCCCCCTTAACCCAGGTTATTGCAGCACTAGAAAATTCACTGGGTGCTTAAACAGCAGAATGACAGCTATTACAGCTAGGATCAGCTACTATTATCAGTTCATACTCCAGAAAATCTGCACATGTGCAATGGAATACCACTAAAATTAAACATACACATCCACTTATATGCTCATAATATGCATTTATTACAGATATTCTATTATTTATTAATAATATTATTTAGTGAGGTGAAAAGATTATCATCTTTTATGAAATAACAAGACTTTTGTTTATTTTATAACTAGTAAAGTTAACCTCTGATCCACCACCAGCGTTAAGCTAATTTTACTGGAGACCACTGTGCTATAAATTGTGGCAGCGAGTCCCTATTTCAACCCCTTCATCATGGCAGGCAATTTATCCCTCTCTCCCAGAGTATTTACTGAGGTTGCTATATGCATCATTTATCTTCTCCTGGAAACCAGTAATCACTTTAATGCCATCTGCAAAATAACATCCATTAGCAGACTTTATGGGCAGCTCCTTGGCTTTTAACCCACAAGAGACAAGACACAACTTTTTTTAAAAAAAATCCTTATTTCACATAACAAAACTAGTTCTAAAAACTTTTGTTCCTCATGCTAACAGCCCATTTCCCCCTCTTTCGTCTCTTAAAGCTTTGCATTATTCAACAATTGTATATTTTATAAACCCCACAGGCAATGTGCTGTTGCTGTTTTTAAACACAAATACACACATACAAGATAATCTGTCTCTGCAGAAACTATGCAGGCTTGTTACACAGTCCCCCAATGCTCAGCAAACAGAAGATGTGCTCACATCATACCGGTTACCTGTGAAGGATTTTCAAGTGTTCTGTAGCCTTTGAATACATGGGTAATTACAGGCCATATGATTTAAATGAATCTTGAATCTCTGATTCACGATACAGACATAACAATAAGGCATGCGTATGTGAACGAATTTAGGTTCCATCCCATTCCTCCTTTCTTCCTCCCCTCTCACACAAGTTGATAATTAAAAACACAAACTATAGTATGTGCGTGTCTGAAAAATGGGATTCCAAACCAGCATTAACCAGGGCTATTTTTGGGCAGGAACGCACAGGAACGGAGTTCCGGCTGGCTCCCATGTTGGCCACGCCCAGCAGGAACTAATTAGCATAATAGGCCACACCCAACAGCAGAAACTCATTAGGATTGGCTACATTAGGGGGGGGTGGCCTAACATGCAAAGGAGTTCCTGCTACAAAAAAAGGCCCTGGGTTTTGACAACAAACAAGGTAAACAGAATAACAAGCAAAAGGTGGGTGTGGCTGGATGACCACACTTCTGGTAACATGTGCTAATGAGCTGTGCTGTCAGGGGTGTGGCCCAATATGCTAATGAGTTCCTGCTGTTGGGTGTGGCCTATTATGCTAATGAGTTCCTGCTGGGCTTTTTCTACAAAAAGAGCCCTGCATTAAACTATGGATTAACCACAGTTTACTGTTCAGATATAACAACTTATACATTGCCACGAAAGCAAACTCGCTATGTGTGAGAAGAAAGACAGGGAGGGAGTGCACAAGCCTGGAGATACCCCACTGCTCATTCACATTTTGACAAACTATCTGAATCATGCCTGTATCTTTCCACTTGTGGAATTCACACAAAATTTCTATTTTGAGGAATGCTAAAATATTATTTTCATGAACTTTTATAACATGTCAGATCTTCACATGCTCATTTTCATGAGCTGAAGTGTCTTTGTGAAACACACAATTTAAAACTAGCATCTCTTCTAATGTGGTTCGTACTCTCCCACGTGGGACTCTTGCAGAAAAGACATATCACAATGTGACACTGATCTGGTAAAAATGATCAAGGGCTTTTTCATAACCCATTTAAACTAATTACAGTTTATATCAGAAAGACAGAGATCATTTCTTACTGAGGGGTCCCTTTCTACACTAATGTAGCGATCATACACACAATTAGCCGCGCCACAGGCATGAATGCTGGGTGGATTTCAAGGGCGCGATCAGACTCAAACATCTGGGAAGCACCCTGCACCCGTCAGCAACCCGTTTTGCTCCACCGCAGAAGCGGAGTAAAAAGACACTAGGGAAACTCCAGGAGCAAATGGGTTGCTACAGGCCACGGATGGACTTTCCCGTGTGATCGCTCCAGCGCGGTCCCATGGTGTCGGGATGGTCTGATCAGGCCATCCCGACTCCATGCCGTTCACCCACCCCACCCCCGTCTTGGTATGCACATCATCACACACTGCATAGGGAGACCTCAGTGCGGAGATGCGAATCATCGATCCCTCGTTGAAACGCACCGGAAACACATGGGGGGGGAACCCAGACTCACCCGCGGTTGCATCTGATCACGCAATGGTGGGCTGTGCACGCAGCTTCCAAGGACTGTGTGATCGCACAACTGTGGGTCAAATTCCTACAGAGCAAATAGCCTCGCTTCCCTCCCGCGTTATCTCGCGTGTGTGACGGCAATCTATGTGTATTTCCCCCCACGGCTCATTTTCTTTTGTGTGCATGTTATCCCTCCTTAGGGCTTCTTCCCCTCTGTATATATGCACTTGAAACATCCCTAGATTGACTCCTAAAACCAGGTATGAAAACTTTATCTCTGTCACATCCACAAACACACACAAACAAAATCATTCCCATGTATATTCTGACTTCCAGAAACATAAGTCCTTCTTCCTTCCTTTACCAGCAGCTTGGTACTAAACCTTAAAATGAGACCAACAGAGGAGCTGTGACTGGGAATGGCTGGGGAGGACACTGTCATTTCTTAATCATGCTGTTTATAACTCCCACAGGAAATTCTCTGCTTGCCCCCGCAAGGACAGTTTACATGTCAGATATAACTGAGGCTGGTTTAATGTCAAAAACAGGCTAAAGTCCCAAAAACAGCTCTATATCATGTGAGCACAGTGTGCTAAACCACCCTCTTAAGGACTAAAAAAAACCCAGGCAGTTACCACCAAAGGGCCCCCTCCCCCAATGGCTGTAAAAATCAATGTGCAAAATGGCTTTTGTTCTCCTGCTCCTTTGAGCTAAAAGCAGAGCTGGAGAACAGAGGAGTTTTGTTGCATTAGGCTGTTGTAGGAAAGACTAAAGGGGAGATGAGAAATAGTGAACCGATTGAGGGAAAACTGATTTTCCTTTCTTGGGGAGGGCAGAGGGGAAAATTAATTGGGGGAGAATCTTGGGAATTCATTTTAGCGGTAGAAATTATTCTGGTTGAGAATCGGTAGTTAATTTAATCTGAACAGAGACAGCATGAGAAGTATTTTAGCAATATCATTTTCAGCTACTTGATGTTTGTTTTTTAAGCCCTACCCTGTTTTTAATGGCTTGTTTTTAAGCTATTGCTATGGTTTTGTCTGTTTTTATTATAAGCCGCCTTGAGTAGGTTTATGGAGAGTCACCATATGAATTTTACAAATAAATAATAAAACAGTGGTTAAAGTATCTCCCCAGCCATTATTTCCTGCCCTGGATTATTGGATTTGTTCTTCTGCCCTCTGGACTCAGCCAGGAAGCAAGAAAATTACCACTATCATAATTCCTAGCAGAAAATGATGGCTAGAAGTATGAAATCTGTAAAGTCTGTTAAAAAAAACTTTATGTCTAACAATTCCTCATTCCTATGGCTAACCCTTCCCCTTTGTCAAAGGTAATACTTTAAAACTGTAGGGGGTGGAGAACAATCAAGGAAGGAGTACACACAAAAACATTCATCTAGGCAAGCAGCGGTAGGTTTGTCAACTACAGAATGGGAAATTTCTGGAGATTTGGGGGCACAGCCTGGGGAGAGCAGAGTGTGAGAGGGGAGGAAGCTCAGCAAGGATATGATACATTCAGTCCACCCTCACAAACTGCCATTTTCTCCGGGAGAAGGCATCACTGTAGTCTGGAGATCTGTTATTATTTTGGGAGAATGACACATCCCACATGGAAGTTGGTAACCGCAAAAGGGGGTTGTTACTCTTATCTCCTTCATCTATACAACAGTGATAATCTGGAATAAGGCAAAACCTTTGTTACACTTAAGAGGCAGATAAATTCTACTACAAATAAAATTACATACTAGGTACATACTTAAAGTGCTCAAATTTATCATCATGAATTACTTTGGGCTATCATTTAACTGTTTGCTAAAATGCCTAAAGACGATATTCAACTCAATGAGCTGATGTCTTTTACAAGTTAATTCCACTGGATATTTTCAAAAGAGAAAGCAACAAACCACACTTGTAAAGCAAAAATATCACCATACCTTTCAACTTCTGGCCGTAGCATCTTCTCTCTTTCGAGCATGGCAATAATTAGCTTCCCCCATTCTTTCTCTATGTCATTTGGGTGGTAGCCTTGAGGGAGCTTGATACGCCCAAACTCTATCCAAACCTTCAAAAGGAATGATTGCATAAGGCCAAAATACAAGGAATGAAGCCCAGAATTCCTCAATCCACAAAAGCATGGCTTACCTCCAGTAATTTATATAGGTGTTTGATTTTTGATTTATCTATCTCCTTTGATGGAATTTCTGTTTCTTTAAATTGTAAATACTGGTTATAAAGTGCCTTTAAAAAAAAAAAGAACACAGCTTTCATTCTGCTAAAAGGAACTGTATTACTATTTACATTATTTTGCTCTAGTAAAGATTATGAAAAACTTCTCACACACAACAGGATAAAACTTCATTGTACTGGTATATTCACTATCAAAGGAAGGGTACAATTAAACTGTCAAGTTTTCTCATTCACCCTCTAAGATACCAGAATCCTAACATCATCTCTTGCCAGTATTTTATTTATCTGCCTCATTCATACCCCAGCTTTTTCCCCATGAGAACTCAGAGTGGCTTACATCGTTTTCCTCTCCGCCATTTCATCCTCACAACAACCATAAGAGGTAGGTTATGTAGATAATATGTGACTGGCCAAAGGTCAACAAGCAAGCTTTTGTGACAGAGTTGGGATTTGAACCTGGTTCTTAGAGATCCTACTCTACCACTAACCAGTACAGCACACTGGCTCTCACGTGAAAACTCTGTTCCAGCAGAAAACTACTTCATCAGGAAGAAAGATCACCCATGAGGCTGCCTTATACTGAATCAGACCCTTGGTTCATCAAAGTCAGTATTGCCCTCTCAGACTGACAGTAGCTCTCCAGGGTCTCAGGCAGAGTCCTTTCATATCACCTACTTCCTGGTCCCTTTCTGTTTGTTTGTTTGTTTGTTGTTGTTGTTGTTGTTTTAACTGGAGACGCAGGGGATTGAATCTAGGACCTTCAAAGCAGAGGCTCTTCCACGGAGTGTTTGCAAGACACTACCCTAGCTTCTTCTTGATGATTTAGAGTTTTATTAATAGTGAGTTTTTCCATACATATCCTGAGTGATGCAACCAATATCACCATGTGCATTCTAAAAAGGCACAGTCCAAAGAGAGATGTACACACAATTTGTTTTAAAGCAGATAGCAGTTGTTGTACTGGAGCATGCAACAGCAGTTGTTGTACTGGAGTTGGACTGGAAGGAAATTGTGCTTCTCCAAAAAGAGTTGAGACTTTTGAATTGATAATGTTATGGGCTCCAGCAATAGAACGATGGGGCATAACATGAGGTTCTAACTAACCTACGCAGGTACACTGGCTCAGAATTTTGTGAATTATACTTGAAATGAGTGTGTGGTTAGAGTAATACAAAATGTACACTTAAGCCTGACAAAATAAATTCTTTATTGTATTAGCCATGAAAATGTAAGTGCACGCTATAATTTGCCTGTTTATAAATAATTGGTGCATTTTATTAATACCAAATTTCATTTTAGACTTAAAGAGCAGGCAATATTGTGAATTAAATAGCTTAGGAATGACCTGAAAAGTTTTATTATACCTAAGAAAGAGCAGTCATTCAAGGGCTTTCCCCCCTAAAGGTGAATCAAAATCCCCAATATGGTAATTTTTTCAGAGGCAGTATCTGGCTGTAATAAGCTGGGCTTCTTATATTTTTCACTATTTGCACAAAATGCTGAATTGCCATGTATCAATGAACACCAAAACATATAATATGCAAAACGTAGTCCTGTTTGGGAAGGGGGCAGGAAAAAAACATTCCTAGAGGGCTGCAGAAGCAGCCAGGCCGGGGGCACTTTCCTACCCAAATCAATCTGGCCAAGTAGATTTTTTTTCCCCTTGGAATTTCAAATGCTTGTAGCCTGACCATAAGCCATATCAGCTCTACCATCACAAGACAGAACCTTGAAAATGCTGGCATTGTTTTTGGCTCCTGACTTAACTGTAAGTGGATGGTGTTCGGAGAAGCAGTCACTACTCTTAGGAACTACCTATATAACTAGGGGTTCTTCCCATTATTATAAAAGTCATATCTCCAGATTAATCTAGGGAATGATTATGAATTTGAGCTTGTATTACCTATATCTGAATTTAATATTTGTAAAAACAGTGGGTAAAATCATTTTTAAACTGAAATATGAATTTAATATAAAACATATAAACTCTTAAAAGGGAACATGGCCCTATTATGAAATTATGGAAAAAACATGGTTGCACTTACCTGTAACTGATGTTCATCAAGTGTCTTCTGTGCTGGCACACATGGGGTTGCCTGCAGGCAGGCCTGCCGCGGGAGAAAGTTCCAAGAGCCTCTAGAATTATCAAGTTGATTAGTCCTCTTCCCCTCGTGGAGGAGAGCTGTAGCTTGTTTTCCCACCTATTTGGGAAACAAGGGGAGGGGGCACTATTCCCTCAGTCCTTACCAGCCGCTGTAGGAGAAACAGGTAATATCCCACAGCGGGGAAGGAGGGAGAGATGTGTGCCAGCACAGAAGACACTTGATGAACATCAGTTACAGGTAAGTGCAACCATATTTTCATCAGTGTGTCTTCTGTGCAGATTGGCGAGCCAAAAAGAATGGAGGCGAGTGTGGGCTGCATCAGATTTTATTTGAACAAAGAATGCAAAACTGCCTTTCCCATAGCCACATCTGCTCGAGAGTTAACATGAATAATGTTTGATAAAGGTTGCAGGCGAAGACCACATTGCTGCTTTGCAGATTTGCAGGACATCCACCGATGCCTGGAATGCTGCTGAGGATGCTTGAGCCCTGGTGGAATGAACTCTGAGGCACGGCAAGTGGGCGGCGTTATAAGCATGCCTAATGGCCTCAACGATTCAACGTGATATGGACTGTGCAGAGATAGCTTGTCCCTTCTTGGTGCCTGAAAAGGAAACTAACAATTGTGGCGTTTGCCTAAACTGTGAAGTACGGTCTAAATAAAACAATAACGCTCTCCTCAGTGTGTAGTGATTGTTCTGCGGGAGAGGGTGGGTATGGAAAGAAGGTAAGCAGAACAATTTTTTGTGAAAGGTGAAAATGTGAAAGCACCTTAGGTCGGAATTCTAACCTGGGGCGCAACACAACCTTTGTAGCCAGTTCAAAGTTTATTGCATGTAGCCAATGGCCATCACAATATAAAAAATAAAAAACAGTACAAAGATTGGCAATACATTTAAAATAAAATTAAAATATATAGATGAAGTATGAGTATAAGTTTTAAAATCAGGTTTCTCAAATAGCACATTCTGAAAGTACAGTCATTCCGTAGCCTTATCTCTAATTTTCCTTGCATCGTGAGCATAGAGTGCCATTCTATAGGAGATAGTGGGATTGACGTCTGAGAGCAAAAAGGTTACTATTTCAATGCCTGATGTGGATTGTAAAGTTGTTAGGACTGGGTTAAGAAATTTGATTCTGGGGCCAGTATACAGAGGGCATTCTAAAATGTAATGTGTTAGATCTTCTACCAAAATCCCACACAGACAGATACGTTGATCATACAGGGTTTTGAGGTGTCGTCCTTTTAACAGCTCAGATGGCATGGTCTGAAAGCGAAGAGCAGTGAGTGCCCTTCTTATGCTATATATTGAAATAAGAGCCAGATAGGAGGCTCTAGAGTGGTCTGTTTTAAATGCTGGATATCGTGGTGCAAATTTCTGTCGACTGATTAGGGATCTGTCAATTAGAGTATCTCCATTGTAGACCCAGTCCCACAAATGTAAGTTGTTACCTGAAGGGGATAATAAGTCGTCCGGAATTGAGTATTTAGCAATGATGTCGGATAATGTGCTAAAATGGGCTGGGTCATTAGTTTGCAGAATATGGAAGCTAGAATTACTAAAAGTGCTAGTATTGGCTGGCTGATGTTTCTTCCAATGCTTCAAGAGTATAACATGTGCACAAGCCCTTATTGAGGGTAAGCCAAGCTCAGCTCGCATCATGGCTGCTGGTGTCCCCTGTGGGAGCCCGCCAGAATGCGCCTCATAAAATTATTTTGGATTATTTCCAGCTTGGTACACAACCTTATCCTGGCACAATCTCAGAAAGGGGGCATCGCACCTTAAGGCTGCTAATTCCCCCACCCTGCATGCAGACGTGATAGCGACCAGAAAGGCAACTTTGTACAACAAAAAAGACAAAGCACAGGTAGCCATTGGTTCAAATGGGGCCTGTATTCAGTGAGATAACGCAACTGATAGGCTCCATTGTGGTAAAGGAGGTGCAACAAGAGGAAAGGGAAGTTCTTAAACAAACCTTTCAGAAAATGTTTTGCCAAAGCATTTGAAAATATAGGTTTCGAATCAATATCTAAATGAAATGCAGAAATTGCAGCAAAGTGTACCTTCACCGATGTGATGGAAAGACCAACAACAAACCCAGAAGTACTCTGGATGCACCTTATGGTCTTGTGCCCAGGAAGTAAACCGTTTCCACTTAGACTCGTAGGAATGCCAAGGGGAGGGTTTACGTGAAACTAAGAGAACTTCTGCCACCCTGGCAGAACACTTGTCTATGGAGAAACAAACCAGGCATAGAGATGCAGCATGCGCATGTCGTGACAGTGCATCTGATCTATCATCAGGACATCCAAAACTTGTGGCAGAGAGATGGCCCTGTTCCTGGCCAATTTCCGCAGGAGTGGGAACCAAGGACGTCAAGGCCAGAGAAGTGCAATGAGCAGGGATCATTTCATAGAAAAAGAGATGCAGGAGCTCATTAGCATAACTCAGCATGACTTATTTGCATCTGCCACACCCCCTGACATCACTAGAATTGTGTCAGAAGGAAACACCCACCGCCCAGGCTCCTTTTCAAAAATCTCCAGGTATTTCCCAACTCAGAGCTGGCGAGCTCTTCAGAAGACCAAAGCTGCTGTGACATAGTAGAAGATGCAGCCTCTCATGAAGGGCCTTGTACATGGCAACCAGCAACTGATGGCGTGACTGCAGGATAGGTTATTCTAGAATGAACACAAATGAAGCTGAATGAATACTGAATCAGACCCTTGGTCCCTCAAGGTCAGTATTGTGCACTCAGACTAGCAGCAGCTCTCTAAAGTCTCAGGTTGAGGTCTTTCACATTACCTACTACGGCCTGGTCCTTTTAACTGGGGATGGCAGGGATTGAAGCTGGAACCTTCTGCATGACAAGCAGAAGTTTTTTCCAGTGAGCCACAGTCCCTCCACAGGTGTGACATGTATTTCTTGCCTTGCACCCACTAGT